AGGGAGAAATAGACAACAAAATGACAATAGTTAAAGACTTCAATACCTCATGTTAATAATGGATAGAACAACTAAGCAAAAGAATAACTAAAAACTAGAAGATTCAAATAACAGTAGAAACCAATTAGACTTAACCAACATATCTGGAACAATCCAATCAACAACAGCCGAATATGCATGCTTCTCAACTGCCCATAAACATTCTTCAAGAAAACCCATATACTAATCCATAAACCAAACTAGAATACATGTAAAATGATGGAAATAACACAAAACGTAATCACAAATACAATCGCAATCACAAATAATACAAAACAAAATCACGATCGAGTGTTTTTCATAATTAAAAACAGAACGTAGTTAGGGAAACTCACAAATATGTTGAAAATTAACAACCCCCAAAATTACATTTGTCAAAGAAGAAATCAAAAGGGAAATTAGAAAGTACACTGAAATAATTGACAATTAACACACAACTTACCAAAACTCATGGGAGGCAAGTAAAACAGTGCTTGGGGGTCACTTTATTCCACAAATGTCTATATGACAAAAGAAAAGAGATTTTCAATCAATAATGGAAACTTCCACCTTAAGACTCTTGAAAAAGAAGAGAAAACAGGGGTAGGAGAGGGGAAAAAAAGAGATAGAAAGCAAGTAAGGGAAGGAAATAAAGATTGGAACAGAAAGAAATGAAACAGAGAATAGAAAAACAAAAGAGAAAAATCAATGAAATCAAAATCAGGTTCTTTGAAAAGGTCAACAAAACTTACGAACATTAAGTAAATTGACCAAGAAATAGATAAGAGTCAAATTGCTAAAATCTGAAATAAAAGATTGGACATTACTACAGACCCTACAGAAATTAAACAGTTTTAAAAGGAATTATATGAACGACTGTACATACATTAGATAATTTAGATGACATGGATAAATTCCTAAAATACCAAAACTGACTCAAGAAAAAAATGTGAACAAGTGAAGAGATTGAATTAGTAACTTAAAAGTTCCCATCAAGAAAAGCCCAGGTCCAGAACTTCACTGATGAAGGAACAAAAATTTGAATGTTTGGGAGGGATTTAAAGGATCTCCAACTATCACATGCATAGGTGTTAAATAGAGGAATATGGGATCCAGGGGACTGAGGAAGGGAGGTCAGGGATCCCAGAATCTGAGAAAAGAAGAGAATAGGAAATAAAGACTGAGGTTCCTGGGTCTACACAGTACAGCCGATGAGGGGCAATTGCAGGATGAAAAAAAGATACATAAATTTGAAAAGATGAGGTCATATTTTAGGAAAAGGGAAAACCACAGATAGGTCAGATAGGTCATGGGCCAGACAGTCAACCCCCACCCCTACCTCTAAAGTACACATCAACCCAATTACAAAAGCCAGTTTTATCCCTGTTTCTACAGATGCTGCATCGACAGCAGAAAGCCGAGTGTTGAATTTGTTTATAGCGTGACAGAAACCAGGGAAGGGAAGCCCATGTTGAAGCCCAACCCTCAGGAAATAAATAAGATTCTGATGAGTAGATTCATGAATGGAAAAATCGTTGGAGTCTCTGAGCAAGTAATTACCAGACACTGGAAGTGTAAATTTGCACTGTTTTGGAGGGCATCCACTCTATGACCCAAAGATTTCATTCCTGTATATACACTAGAGCAGGTTTCCCAATAGTGTAATATCATCCTTTGAAGGCTTAGAAGTTATTTTAATGGGTGAGAATAGCATCTATTTATGAAACTGGTACATGCCTTCTGCGCTAAGAGGGCATTTGAACTAGGGGCGCCGGGTGGCTCAGTCGGTTGAATGTCGGACTCTTGATTTTGGCTCAGGTCATGATCTTACAGTTTCATGAGTTTGAGCCCCATGTTGGCCTCCGTGCTGACAGTGTGGAGCCTGCTTGGGATTCTCTGTCTCCCCCTCTCTCTGTCTATTCCCCACTTGTGCTGACTTTGTCTCTCTCAAAATAAATAAACACACTGAAAATTTAAAAAGAAGGCATTTGAACTAGCATCTATTTAATACGTTCATTGAGAGTTGCAGGTACATGTTTACATAACTACCCCGTGATATTTCTGCCTCTGCATCCATTTTGTGTGCCCAAGGGGCATGCTGGAACCTCAGACTGACAATAGCCCTTCCCTAGATAACAGTCTGCAGAGTCAGGAACAAATGCAAATTCCTCATATAAACTTCCCCAGTATCCCTTGTGAGCAACAGTTCTCCTCCCTCCCACGACCTTCACCTTGTACATCCCTTAGGTAAGACCCCCATGGACCATAGCAAAACTGTACTCTTTCTGGTTTGAATTGACACATTTGGCCTTATCCTTGGAACCCCAAAGCACATCAAAGGGGGACCATAATGAAGATGCGGTCCAGGTTCTGCTGCACTCACTCTGCCTGCACCCTGTCTTGACCTCTCGCCTTGTGGCCCCTTGAAGCATAAGGTATAGTTCCTCCTGAACCTGTGCGCAATAAACTTCCCCATTTCCCTTTCCCCCGTGGTCTTTCGTTGAGGATTGACTCAATCCCAAACTCCAGGATCTACTTTACAAATATTAATTTAACACTTGCCATATGTTTTTTAAGTACTTTAATAAAATGCAGATATTGTGGTAGTTCACTATTCACGCTTTAGTATGCTTGTGGGAAAAAAAAAAAACCCAGTGCGTTCTATAACCATTACCATAACATAGCTAGCAATTAAAGCTAACATTTCATGTGATGTAATGTTTCCTCCACATTAGACTTTTCCTATTTAGAGACGACATCTCTATCATTTGGTAAAATCAGGATCTGGGGCACCTGGGTGGCTCAGTTGGTTAAGAGTCTGACTTCAGCTCAGGTCAAGATCTCATGGTGTGTCTGTGTGCTGACAGCTTGCAGCCTGGAACCTGTTTCGAATTCTGTCTCTTCTCTCTCTGCTCCTCTCCCGCTCACACTCTCTCTCTCTCTCAAAAACAAGTAAACATTAAAAAAACCTTTTTTTAAAATGTCTTTCAAAGGAGTTAAAAAAAAGTCAGGAATTAATAAGGGACGAGAATCCCACGTTTGGCCACGTGGGTAGACCCCAACTCTCATCCATCACCTCACCTCCCAAAGCTCCTAATGGACAGAGCGCAGAGGTTTGTGGGAAATGTAGTCTCTCCGTTTCACAGACGTCTTCCCGCAGGGGACTCTGGGAGTCTTCCGGGCTCCCTCTGCGCACGTGCGGCCCCGCCCCCTTCCGCCAGGAACTTCCGCTCCTGGCTCCTCTTTCGCCGCTGCCCCGAGGGCCCTAGGCTGGGGTCTGTGTCGGTCCCTGAAGGTTGGTGCGAAGGTGAAAGGGGAGCCCTGCGCCACTCGGGGACTGGGCGGGCGAGGGGGAGGGGTCGTCCCCTTGGTGGGAGCGGGAAGGTGGGTTGGTGACCGATGGCGAGACGGGATCCGGCTCGAGCTGTGCTTTCAGTGGTTGCTTGGTCAGGAGAAGGCGCGCTGTAGAAGGCGTGGCATGTGCCTCCGGGAGCTTGGCGAACTGGGTGGTCGAGTCCAAGAGGCAGCGAGGGCGGGGGTGGGTCTGCAGACGGTCAGCTAGCGTCAGGGGCTGCGGTCAGCGTCCTCGTTCCAGCGGTGTCCTCAACCGTGGTGGCGTTCGGTTTGCTCACCTGTAACATGAGCGTATTGATGAGCAGTGAGATGTCCGCGATTTCCAGAGAGATCATCGTGAAAGGTGTGCGCACCCGGGTCTAAGGGTGAGGCAGTTGTTGTATTTGCAGGGTTTCTTGGCGTCTCCACAGCAGGCGGTGGCAGGGGTCAGGTCCCCCCCCACCCCCCCGCACTGTGTAGCGTTGTTGCATCCACACGACTCCTGAAACAGAATGCTACGGGTACCAGTGACAGTTGCAACAAAGTTTATTACAATGAGAGGCAAGGCCGACCGATGGGGACCAACACTCTTGATAAGAGTGTGGCCCCGAACAGCCGGGGTACAGAGTTTTTAAAGCCGATCACATCGTTTTATCATTATCTGGGAACAGAACAGATAAACAGTTCCCAGATGAGTTAGAAACAGTTGCCAGATGAGTCAGAAACAGTTATCGAATGAGGTGATTATTTTAGACTTTCTGCCGCTAAGTTGCAACCAGTGGATCTCCTTGACCTTGTCTCTGATGCTCTTTTTTGAGCTTTTGTTTCCTTCATTGGTAAAGCCTAATTCACAAGAGTATGAAGTATGATTTACAAGAGTAAAAGCAAGGCTGTTATCTTTTGACTTTTAGTGTCAGAACAAAGTTGTTATCTTTCAAGCTAAGCGTTAGCCCTATAGTACAATTTAACCCTTACAGCGTGACCTTTTTGGTGATTTGTGTTGGCTGCCGGCTAAGCCGTGCGTCCCTAGCAGGCTAGCCCCAGGTGTCTTCACAAGATGATAGTGTTCCCGGAAGGTAACCGCTAGTGGAAAAGTCCTCTTCATCCTGTGTCTGGGTCACATGTGCTGAGCTGAGCTCCCTTTGACCAAAGCAAGTCGAATGGCAAAGCCCACGCCAGTGTTGAGGAAATGGTTACAGGGAAGCAGGTCATTGAGAACCATTACGGGAACAGTGTGCCACACAAGAAATGTACCTTAGGTTCTTTTCCTATAAAATCACAGGCCAAAAATGTTGAGTTGCAAGATGTATACTTTCCGTGAAGATAAGGTGTTTAAGCTACAGGTGTCCTCGTGGAAACGCAAATATGAAGCCCTGTGTGTATGTCTCTATTAATAGGAGCGTAGTTAAACCACCGTGGTTTAAATAAGCATCTTCAGAATTTTAAGTTAATTCTTACTAGTGACTGTTGATAAAATCAGTAGGACATGGGTGTTTTCAGTAACCAAGGATAAACTGCATGTGCAGTTAATGGGCTTGGGGGTTCCCCTGCAATAGGGTGTTTCCTGCTGTTTCTCAAGGTGTGAGGTTCTCTTGTCTCACAGCAGGTGAACCACCCCCCCCCCCCCCCTTGTTAATTGTCTTTTCTAGCTGTGTGTAGAGAGCCTCACACAAGAGAATCCAGGACCTGGGAGCAAGTCACCGCAGTCCTGTCATGACTGGTCCATTGGCCCTCTCTCCCAGCTGTCCTCCCACAGTCCTCGTTGCGTTTCCAAGAGCAGCAGAACATGCAGAATTCATCTCTGGTGAGTGGTTTGTTTGCTTGCTCCTCAGCTTGTTTTACATCGTGCTTCGTGAGCTTTACGCAGGGCAGTTCATAAAATAGAAAAGTAGAAATAAGTGAAACTCAGCTTCTGGGAAAAATACCTAAACGTGGAAATGGTGGCATGTAGGTATGGACGGGTTCTATGACCTGAGAGTCCTCCAAGGTGAGTGCAGATTCGTCCCTGATTTCTCTTTCTGATGTCGTGGAGAAAAGATAGGCACATTTGTTATCTTTTCAGAATGGCCCCTTAGAGGAAAGTGTGCCACATTCTCATGGGACACGAAAGCTTGCAGGCACAGAAGTCCGAAATGGTGCCTTTGTCGGTCACGGAGATGGTGTCGTGGACAGTGTTTCACTGCCAACCTGGAAATCAACACGTCCAGCATTCTGCAGCGGTGTCGGTCACCTGGGGCTGGAACACGGCTTGCTCACTAAGGGTTTTCTGGAGTTGCGAAAGTAGCGTCCCAGACAGCTTTTGGAAGGCCCTACTTGATCCTCGGCTAAAACTTGGGATGTCTGGGGGACTGAATTGACTGCAGGTCCTTCAAATAAGTCTCCCCACGTTTCTGTCAGCTAGTCTGTCTGTGTAGGTTGTGGGGCCGACTGTTCAAAGTTGTATTTTTCTGACAAATATTTCCACTGCTGGTCTGCATCTTAACCTACTCAGTGTGGTCCCAATTCACGTCTTCTAAGTGAGGAAATAACCTACAACCTGCATTATCCACCTAGATTATAGTTAGACTCCGTGTACTGTGGGCGTTGCCTCACGTGAACCTTCTGCCGTAGTGACACTGCTCTCCAGGATCTTCTCCTGGACATTCTTGTCCATTAGCTCCTGTGGCGGCCTGCCTGATGATTTCTTCTGCTTCCCTGAATTCTTCTCCTGTGTGTTTCTTCTCCTGAACATGGCTCTCCAAGTGTTCAAATCTGGCCCCCATATTCACACGATGCGGTTTTCCTTGACTTGTCTGGCCCTCTGTGGTTTGATAGTCTTGAGCATTTCTCTCCTTCTTGGACCTCTTCCCCATCCTTTAGACCATAGGTCCAACTCCCCCGTGAATGCGTTTTTTGTGGCTGTCCAGAAGGCACCTCACACTGAGCGAGTCCCACCTGAAATCCATGTCGTCTTTTCTTCCCTTACATGTGATATACCTTCCATTCACCAGTGACTCTAATGAGATTTCTCCTGGATGCCTCCTTCTCTCTTAGGTATAATCTCCTCTTACATGAAGACCCATGTGTTTGTTTTGTTAGTTTATCCAAAATCTGCATTGGTGCTCACAGACAAATGTAGTAACTGTCTGTTTTACATTGGAATTGTCGTTCTTGGAAAAATCTGAAGGATGTATATGCCTGGTGATTGGGTTGGATCCCTCTTGAGCTGTGCTACTAGCCAACATGTGTGGTGACAGCTTCAGGAGTCCGGTTGGAGAAAGTATTCAGGAGTCAGTGATCTACGTTCAAACAAGTGTTAAGATGAAGATAGGCAAAGTATGAAACAAGGAGCTCAGATTTTTATAATTTTTACCTTTTATTTTCATTAATTTGTCAGTGATTCTATCTGTATTTTTTATTATCGTATAATTGAAATTGCTAGTTCAAAAATGAACTGTCATGTTTTCAACCTTGTTAAAGGATAGTTAATTTTTCTGTTCCAGCTAATCATTTAAAAGAAATGAGTAAGGAAAAATGGATGTTTGCATCAACCATAAATAGAATTTTGGGCTACAATTTGGTGAAAAGTTGGTTAACTTTTTTTATTTTGATAACATATACATAACCTGGAACACCTGAGTGGCTCAGTCGGTTAGGCATCTGACTCTTGATTTTGGCTCAGGTCATGATCTCACAGTTCATGGGTTCGAGCCCCATGTCAATCTCTACACTGACAGCATGGAGCCTGCTTAGGATTCTCTCCTTCCCTCCCTCTGTGCCCCTCCCCTGCTTGCGCTCACTCCCTCTCTCAAAATAAATAAATAAGCAGTAAAATATATATATATATATATATATATATATATATATATATATAACCTCGAATTGGCCGTATTGACCATTTTAATTAAAAATGTCAGTTCAGTGGCATCAGTTTTAATCATCTTGTGCAACTGTCTCCAGAATTTTTTCGTGTTTCCCAAATGAAGCTCTGCTCATTAAATACCAAGTACCTGTCCCCTCTAATTCAGCCCTTGGCAACCATGATTTTATTTTCTATGTCCATGAATTTGGCTATTCTAGGGAGCCTCTATAGGTGAAGTCAGGCAATATTCATCTTTTCATGACTGACTCATTTTACTTAGTGTATTGTCTTCAGGGTTCAATTGTGTCACAGGATGCCGTGGTTATAACATGTTTGTTACTCCCTTGAGGTTGAGTTTAATTAGTCTTGACTCTCCAAGCATTTCTTACATTTTTTTCTGTAAAAATTGGAAGAGGCAACTTTTTCAGCCCTAAACAGTAACAGATAAAATGAGAAATCCTTTGAAAGTTTTTCAGTCCTACAGGTTCCCAAATTTATAGTATCTCCCAATTTTCTTTCATTCCTGTTTGCACACTGAACTCTTTTTTTCCACCTGAGCTTATCACTTTTCCTATAGTATTTAACTAAAGGCAGCGACTAGTGCCTGATACTTACTACTAATACTCTGTTTTCCCACCTCTTTTTCTAAAGCTTTAAATCCATATGGTAATCATCACTCATGTTACTTCAGTAACATTAGGTACATAAGTACCAGTGATCATAAGTAACACTGATCTGCTATTTAGCCCCTGGTCATGGATCACCTTCCTCCCGGTTTCTTTGCACTGCTTGTTTCTGTTTGGTGATTATGCCGATTCATTACCAGTTAGGTCCACAACAAAGGTTTCATTCTTTCTTATGCTACCTATCCATCACGGATCAGTTTTGCTTTTTATCCTTTTTGTCTCATTCAGTATCCCAGACGGAGGAGCACTTTTTTTTTACTGTAACATTGTTGGTCCTGTGACAGAGGGAGGACATGGTGATCTATGCATGGCTCTTCCAGCTTCTGCTTAGAAGTGACATGTGTCACTTCCATTGACTTGTTCTTGTTCAGTGCCAGGTACATGGAAGAATATAGATCTGTTTATGTGAGTTCCACCTCCAAGGGATGCTAATCCTTTTGCAGAGAAGGGCACCTCAGGGAGTACTGTGGACTGCATTGTATTCCCCCAGAATTTGTATATTGAAGGCCAGCCCTAACTGCCAATGTGACTGCATTTGGAGATCAAGCCTTTAGAAAGTAATTATTGTTAAATGAGGTCCTAATGGTGGGGCCCTAATCTGATAGGATTGGTGGCCTTATGAAAAGAGGAAGAGGAGAGATCTTCATTCCTCCACCATGAGAAAACAGCAGGAGAGTGACCATCTGCAAGCCAGGAAGATGGTCTATACCCGGCACAGAACTGGCTGACACCTGACCTTGGATGTCTCAGCCTCCAGAAATCTGAGAAAAATTTGCTTACAAAAGAATTTTTTTAAATGTTTATTTATTTTTGAAAGAGACAGAGTGTGAGCGGGGGGGTGGGGGGGGGGGGGGTGGGGGCGGGGCGGCTGAGAGAGAGAGAGAGGGAGTCACAGAATCTAAAGCAGACTCCAGACTCCAGGCTCGCTCGGAGCTGTCAGCACACAGACCAACGTGGGGCCTGAACGCACGAGCCATGAGATCATGACCTGAGCCGAAGTTGGAAGCTTAACCAACTGAGCCACCCAGGTGCCCCAAGAAATTTGCTTTTGAATCCATCTAGTCTAGGGCATTTGTTATGTCAGCCAGAGCTGACTGATAAGGGAGAGACACTAAATTTTGGTGAACAGAAGTATAACCTCCCACGGTCTCTGTCTATTCTTACTTAATCTTCTCTATGAACTTTTAAATTAGCTTGTCTGTATCTAAGGATGTGTTGTTTATTAGGGTAATATTACATGAATTTCCTGATTATTAACTTACTGAGAATTGATATCTTTTTGATGTAGATCTTCCTACTTGTGAATATGGTGTCTTTCATTTATTAGTTCTTGTAGTCTTCATATTTTTTTCTCCCACAGCTTTGTATGTTTTCTGTTAATGTATTGATATGTATTCTGCTTTTTGTTGTTGTTATAGTATGAATGTTTTTGTATGTATGAAGACATTATTTTTATAATCTACAGTTTACAGAATTTTCTTATAGAAAATTCTTTTCTTTGTGACGCCTGGGTGGTGATTAAGTGTCCAGTTCTTGATTTTGGCTCAGGTCATGATCTCACAGTTGGTGGGATAAGAGTCGGGCCTGCTGGTGTGCTCTCCTTGTCTCTCTGTCTGTCTCTCTGTCTCTCTGTCTTTCTGTCTGTCTGTCTCTCTGTCTGTCTCTCTGTCTGTCTCTCTCTGCCCCCTCCTGATTGTGTGTGCACTTTCACTATCTCTTTCTCTGTCTCAAACTTAAAAAAGAAAATTATTTTCTTTCTATAGAATAGTTCTCATAGGATTCTTTTGAGTTTTCTACGTATAAATTATATTTACATTATGACCGTTTTTACAACTATTTATCTCTTTTCAATTGCATTGACTGTTACCACTTGTAAATTGTTGAATAATTGTGGTGGGAGAGCACTTTTATACTCCAGTGTTTCCTCATGAAGTGTGATGCTGCCTCCGGGGTAAGACATACACATTTAATCATTTTAAGGAAGAATCCTCTAAATCCCCTTTGGTTAATGGTTATTATTACAAATGGGAGAATATTTTGTAGATACTTGCTTAGTGTCTATTTGAATCATCATAGGACTTTTCAGAAACGTGAACATGATGACGTGTATTAATAGATTCCTTAGTATGGAGGTTATTTCTATTCCTGGAATAATCTCTAGAAATCTTCTCTGTGTCGTGGTGTCTCTCTCTTTCTCTGACAGTCAGCATTGGTGTGTCCTAAAACACGGCACCTGTTCCTTTCTCCTTTCAAAGTCTTAGGTTCTCTGTGAGCCGTTCCATTCATTCTGATGGCTTCAGCTACTACTAAAATTCTGCTGCTTCCCCATGTTTATTTTCAGCTTGGATCACTCCTGAGCTCTAGATCATGTATCCAGTTGCCAGTATGACATCCCTGCGTACGCACAGACTTCAGACATGCTGTGTCCAAAATCTGTGTCTCTTGTGCACACTCTGTGCCCTATTTTATTTCATCTTATAGCACCAGTATGTATCTAGCTGGTCATGCAGACAGCTGGGTTCTGTCTTCACCCTTCTCAGAACAAATTAGAACCAACTTGTGTTCCTGCTTTCTTTTCGTTTTTGCTTTGTAGGATTAGTACCCTATTCTGTAATTTTATTGCTCTGTATCCTGTAACCCCAAGTTTGTCCTCTGTCACTCTCTTCTAAGCTCTTTCCCATCCTGCTTCTAGGGGAGGACTGTTAAAATGCAAATCTGGCCGTGTAACTTACCTCTTCTTACTGGCCCCTCATTATTCACACCCTGTGGTTTAGGAAGTAGGAGGTACTCACACTGGGGAGGACAGAAGCAACCCTTTGGGATAAGGAGGAAATATTCAAATGCGTCTGTACATGCTTTTAATGTATAAGTAATAAAAACAACGGTGAGTGCATCAAATTTGTTGTGTTGGAATTAGGTCAGATATTTAAACGCAGAACTATAGGGGCGCCTGGGTGGCTTATCGGTTAAGTGTCTGACTTCAGCTCAGGTCATGATCTCGCAGTCTGTGAGTTCGAGCCCTGCGTCAGGCTCTGTGCTGATAGCTCAGAGCCTGGAGCCTGCTTCGGATTCTGTGTCTCCCTCTCTCTCTGCCCCTCCCCCACTTGCACTCTGTCTCCCTCTCTCTCTCAAAACAATTTTTTTTTTAAATGCAAACTATAATCTGTTCCTTAAATACCTTTACTGCCTTTATGTCTCGTCACAGTCTAGGAGCAACCATTTGGACATGGTGCTGTTTGTACTTCCAGTAATGTAGCATGTGTACCTGTTGCCCTCGTGACTTCTACTGTAGTCTCATAGTTATGAGAATATGTTGTTCACATTAAACAGCTAATGTGTTTGGCTCTTCAGGGAAGTGTGATTGGATGGCACAAGGGCAGCTGTTTTCTTCTTTCTTACTCTTGTCTACATTAAACACGTCTAACCTCGTTTATCTAGTGCATTACTGCAGGTGTATGTTTACACTAAGGCCTCCATACCAGGTCATACACACCTTTGGGGAGCACAGTTATCTTTTCGTCTCTAGTAGCAAGGACGGTTCCAGATTGACGAGGGAAACTTTATGATTGTACTTTTAGGGATTAAAGAGTTAACATGTGTAGGATAGTTCTACTGTGGATTCGCTTTAGCCCACGGTATAGAGTACAAAGCATGGTGTATTCTGTGTAAGACAAAACACACAAAAAAGAATGAACTCCCAGACTTGTTCTTCTGATCCCAGCTGATCCCTTGAATTGAGACATGTGTCATTCATTACAGGGGTTGGTGTCGTTTGAGGATGTGGCTGTGAACTTCACCTGGGAGGAGTGGCAGGACCTGGATGATGCCCAGCGGACCCTGTACAGGGTCGTGATGCTGGAGACCTACAGTAGCCTGGTGTCACTGGGTGAGTGAAAGTGTCTTAGTGTCCTAGCATTGCTTTCTTCATTGGTAAACGTGGAAACTGTTTATGAGGTTACATGCTACTTAGGTTTAAGATTCGAGGCCCAGAAGAACGTGGGTGTTCACCTCTCTAATCAGAGGTTCAGATCGGCCGTTCGTTGCACGACTCTTGACGCTGTGCTCCTGTCATTCTTTAAAACGGTTTGGTAAAAGCCCCCCCCTTTATTTCTGATCAACAGGGCACTGCATTACCAAACCTGAGGTGATCGTCAAGTTGGAGCAAGGAGCAGAGCCATGGACAGTAGAGGAACCCCTAGAGCAGAGCCTCCCAGGTCTGTCAGTGCATACTGGGCAGGGGTCTGGGAAGGGGAGAGCATAGCAGATGTTGGCCGTGCTGGGTTGTTTTTTACCCGTGCTTTTCCTAGGTTCAGACATGCTCTATTTAGTCTCCAAAGATGCTTCTTATGTATAAACCACCCCCATGTTTTTTTCTATTTTCTTAGTCTTACCCAAAATCCAGTCTTTACCTGCCTCCTCTTAGAATGTTTTTCTTTGTTAGCCACTGTCGGTAGGTTGTAAGATGCCCTCCTTTCCTCCATCCTCATGCACTAGTTTTTTTCAGACATTTATTTATATACTCATTATTCTTTCAACAAGTGTTAAGCAAGCGCTAGTCATTTTGTAATTATGGGGCTAACGACAGTAATCAAACAAGTGCACTCCTTTCTAGGTGGTTACCAGTTATTGAGTCAGCATGAAACACATATACGACATACGAAGTACATGTGAAGTAGTGGGATAACCCGCACAGATGTCACCGTGACAGAAAATGGGGTGTGCCATTTTAGTAAGGAAGCCCAGGGAAAGTGGTTTTGGGGTGATTAATTATTAAGACTGTACTTTGGGATAGCTTAAGTTTAAGGTGGCGATTTACCAAATTTGACAGTATAACATATAGGTGGATATAATATCTGGAGTAGAAATTGGACATCACTATTACAAGGTACAAGTTAGAAAAACTGTTAAAGGCAGAGGATTAGAGGAGGTTGCCCAGGGAGTTGTTAAGAAAAGAAGGGGAGCCCAGGACCAAGCGTTGTCAACCACGGCATCACAGGTGGCAGGAAGGTGAGGAGAACCACGCACAGTGTGGAAAGGGGCAGTCCATGGCATGGGAGGAGAATCTGGAGAACGTGTGTCCTCGAGGCCAGTGGAGCCCGGGGTTTCAGGGTGCGGTTGCTTACGCTAAATCATTCTGAAACAATGACCCATACACGGACTCCATTTTCGCTGAAACTAGGACACGTGCAAAACTCCAGAGTGCAAAACACAAGCCTTTAGAAACTGCACATTGTCAAGTAGGGCTGCATATACCAGGAAGTGGGGTGGGGATGCCAGGGTTTTTGATCTAAGAAGGAGCCAGAAAGAGGTTTTCCAATGATGGTGGGCACAGCCTGGGTTGCAGAGCTTAAAGCCTTTAGGCCAGCAGGGAGAGGTAGCCCAGTGTGGAGGATTGGAGCTCTCTGTACCTGTTATGGTTGTGAGAAGCCAAGCATGCTGGGTTTAATTAGGAATTAGCTGAAAGCGGTCTCTGGCTGGCATGGAGAAGGAGAGATGATGCCTTTGAAAAACCCCACGGATGCCCAGGGAAAGGTGAAAAAGCAGAGAAATGTGGGAACAAATCCTTGTTCCTAAGCAACATCCCTGCTGAGATGACAGAAGAATGGCTCTGTACTGCATCCTGAAGTGGCGGATCCAGGAAGACCTCGTCGTCTTCAAAGCTGAGTGATGAGAAAAGGCCCAGCACAAGTGACCTACAGTTATTGTGAGAGAAAGCGGGAAATGGAACAGGAACACAAATGGCAGATGAAGAGAAGTCAGCTGAACACTAAGCCTAGGGAATAGGTGAATATTGTGACCAATGGTTTCCTCATGGATTCAAAAAGGAGAAAAAAAAACGATAAAAAAGCAAAACCAACAAATAAATAAGACCATGATCTGACATTAGAGAATCTGTTGGTGTAACTTGTTACATTATTTCATTAGAAAGAAAAATCATATACTTATCATAATCATACCCATTTTAACTCTGTAAAATTCTTATCCTACACGATGGAAAGAAACTTCTCCATTTTTACATGAACATTCCGTAAGAAATGCTTAGGTGTGGTTCATACATATGGTTACTTTGTCTCATTTTAGATGTCCAGACTGCAGGTGACCTGATGGAGACTGGCCAGGAGTATCAGAGCAGACTTTTGTGGCAAGTTGGATTGGCCAACTATGAAACGTCAACGAAGGAGAGAACCAGTTTGGGAAAAACACTTAATTTGAGTGCAGCCGACGTTTCAAAACTGATTGTAAATAACAGAAGCTACTCAGGAGTGAAGCCAGAGTTGTGTAATGTGTGTCAGAACACGTTTCTCCCTGGTGAGCCTGGTGGGATGCGTGTTGGAGAGAATGCCGAGGAATGTCATACAACTGGGAGCCCCCTCAGGTGTGCCGAGTGTCCTAGTTGTCATCTGAGGAATCAGACTTTGTGGCAGCCTCTTGAATTTAGTGGGCAAGGGAAAGACTTCAACAAGGGGGCAACACTCTGTACCTGTAGGAGAGCTCACATGGGAGAGACTGCCTGTAGGTATAATGAACATCGGGAAGCCTGTGGTAAGTCAGCTGTCACTGCCCAAGAGAGAACTCACATAGGGGAGAATCACTGTGGATGTAACAAATGGAGGAACACTTTTTGTGAGAAACCAACACAGTTGAATCTTGGTCTAGCCGATTTCGAGGAGCAACGCCATAAACATGATCAAAGTGGGGGTAATTTCAGCAAGAAATCACACCTCGCTCAGCTTTCGAGAACTCCGTTAGAAGAGAAAACTTTTGAATGTGATGTATGTGCTAAAACTTTCTACAAGAGGTCTAATCTCAGTAAACATCGGAAAATACACACAGGAGAGAAACCCTATAAATGTAGCGAGTGTGAGAAGACCTTCATTAGTAAAACAGTTCTTACAGTACATCGGAGAACTCATACAGGGGAGAAGCCCTATGCATGTGTCGAATGTGAGAAATCTTTCTGCCATAAGTCACACCTGACTGTTCATCAGAGAATCCACACAGGGGAAAAACCGTATGAATGTTATGAATGTGGGAAATCCTTCCCTGTGAAAACAAAACTCACCGTACATCTGAGAACACACACAGGGGAGAAGCCCTATGAATGTAATGAATGTAGGAAATCCTTTTACCAGAAGTCAGCCCTCACCATACATCAGAAGATTCACAATAGGGAGACACATCATGAATGCAATAACTGTGGTAAGACATTCCATAAGAAGTCAGTTCTCACTGCACATCAGAGAACTCATACAGGAGAGAGACCTTATGAATGTAAACAATGTGGGAAGTGCTTTGGCCATCGCCCAGCTCTCACTGTACATCAGAGAACTCACACAAGAGACAAACCTTATAAATGTAACGAATGTGGGAAATCCTTTTGTGTGAAGCCAAAACTCACTGTGCATCTGAGACTTCACACAGGTGAGAAGCCCTTTGAATGTAAGGAGTGTGGGAAAACTTTCTACCAGAAGTCCAAACTCACTGTACACCAGAGAACTCACACTGGTGAGAAACCTTATGAATGTAATGAATGTCGGAAAACCTTTTGTGAGAAGTCAACCCTCAATAGGCATCAGAGAACTCACAGGGGAGAGAAACCTTATGGATGTAAAGAATGTAGGAAAACTTTCTACCAGAAATCAGCCCTCACTGTTCATCAGAGAACTCACACAGGAGAGAAACCCTATGAATGTAATGATTGTGGAAAAACCTTCTGTCAGAAATCACACCTCAGCAAACATTTGAGAACTCACACAGGGGAGAAGTCATGTGTGGCAGAGACTGGCTGTATGTATACCAAAACTCACTTTCTCTTTGTGTTGGGCACACAGTTAGCCTACATTTCTCAGCCTCCCTTTGTTGTGGGTGGGACCATGTAACTGAGTTCTGGCCAAGAGAATATGAACACACATGATGAACAGTACTTCTAAGCCTGGCCACAAAAAAAACCAAAAACCAAAAAAACAACAGGCATTTGCTGAGTTTTTTTATTCCCTGTGCTCCTGAAGTGCAGATGACACACAGGTTTGTCTTCAAAGCCATAGAGTGAAGATTGCAACCATGACCTCAGGCAGAAATAATTGATTGTGGAGGGCAGAAATCTTTCCATCTCTGCCTCAGAAATCCTCACTTGTACTTTACCTGAGTGAGAGCCCTTCTATGTGTGACCTGACTACAGCACTACCAATCCATTGTAGCCAGTTCACTTTATGAATTTGTGAATTTGTGGCAGGCTTCTGTTGAAGTTACCAGTCCTTGTGTAGGAAACTCACAGAGGAAAGAACCTGTGTTTTCATCTTTCAACCCTAAGTCAGAAATCATAGGAAGAAATAATGCAGTAAATGTCGGAATACCTTTATTGGTCAGAGATAGCTCATTGAACAGTGAGAATAAAGTAAAACCTGATAAATACCTATTGTGTCCAAATTTTCAACTGAATGTCTGACTTTGTGTCTATCAGAGAATTTCTCATTAAGGGAAAACTATCAGGTTAGGTAATGTGGATGAAAACTTCAGATAGAAATGGTACTGTATTGAAAAAAATTTTTGAACTAGACGACCATTGGTTCTCTCCTGCGGGTGATTTTGCCTACAAGGGGATATTTGGCAACACTAATGGTACTAGCATGGTGTCAATTCTGCCTTTTTCTATACGAGGTAGTTATAGGGCCCATGAAGATTCTAAGGGGTAGAGAAATAGGCTCCACCTTTCGATGTAAGAGCACCTTAAATAGTATGTGGGATGGGACATAGTAGTGTGGCCGTCTTTAGAAAATGCAATAGGACACTGTCCACTTTATGACCACCGAGTTCACATTGCTCACACATGTAATCTGTACTATACAAATAAAGGACCTCAATTTATAAAGCTGTTTAGCTCAAAATGTAGGACCTCATCATCTGTATCTGGTCTACATGCACATAGTCTTTTTGGACACAGTCCCTTGTCTGTGACTTAGTGTGAAAGCCTAGGACCTGATGTGACTAGTTATGTGCCCTGCACACACTCAACACACAATGGTAGCACAGAGATGAGGGATTCACCGATGGTCCATTAAAGGGAGAGGAACTGGGAGGCACTTAGCCTCCCATACACGGAAACTAAAATCTGGCAGGGCACACCATCAGTTCCTTAATTAGGATGCAGCGATTCTGGGAATGACGTTAGGGCTCTGGATTCTGCACTCCGTCACCTCTCTTCTGCATGACCTAGCCTGATTTATTTATTCATTTTGCTGTCTAGTTTCTTCAGTTCTGGTTCCTGCCCAGAGGGCTCTTCTCATTTGAACTGTTTCTAAAACTTGTGTTTCCAATTGATTCCATGCCTTTAAGAAAGTTTTTGGATTTCTGATAAATTATAATGTAGTCCACTAGGTGAAAGCCACCCCTATATTTCTGGAACAGGATCCACTCCACCTCGAACTGAGAGATGTGGGGACAGTGCTACTATTTATCATCTGTCGTAAGGGTTTACAAGGCACACTCTTTAGAGTCTCAAGAAAAGGGTCTTAGAGCAACACCCTTGGTCTGAGATTCGCTCTGATGCTCCATTTTGCCGGTAGCATCCTGATTGTGACCTGTAGCCTGCATTCATTTCATACTTCAGGTATCTTTGTTTCTGACTGGAGACGCTGGGAAGGAGGAACAGTTTTATTTTCACACCTAGGTAGTCCTGGCCCCTTGGTGTTTTGTCTAGATTGTTCTCTAAAACTGAACGATTTCTTTTAGCTCCTCTGTCTCTACCTATACCTATGGTAAGTGACTCTACCAGCTATGGATTTTTTTCTTTTTGTCTCAGCTAGAAACCCACCCTTGGTGGCTCTACTATGTGATGCTGGGGCTACATTTCTCTTATTCCAGCTGACACAATCTCTGGGTTTCCAAAGAAAGGGCCTGGAGGGAGGTTGCAAGGCAGAGCAGGAAGGAGGATCTTCTTCCTTGGCAGATATCCGTGTGGTTGTGAGCAGGGGTGGGGAAGGTTCTGGTCCGGTTTCTCTGTCTAGAACTTTAGTACAGTGAATAGTATTTGAACATACCCTAAAGTGCTTTAAACATTTCACTGGTAATTATTAAAGAAGGTACCTTCTATTCCTAGATTTTACACTTTTTTTAAATTTAAATAGGTGTTGGATTTTGTCAAAGGCCTTTTGTGCTTCTGTTGAAGTAAGCATGTGTCTATTTAATTAAAAAAAAAATTTAATCTTTACTTTTGAGAGAGGGAGAGAGACAGAAGGAGAGCAGGGGAGGAACACAGAGAGAGGGAGACCCAGAATCCAAAGCAGGCTCCAGGCTCTGAACCGTCAGCACAGAGCCCGATGTAGGGCTCGAGCCCACGAACCATGAGATCATGACCTGAACCGAAGCTGGACACTTAACCGACTGAGCCATCCAGGTGCCCCTCATGTGTCTTTTTTTATTGTGAATCACCTGAAGCTACAAAATTAGCTGAACTGCTGCTATTCAAGGTGATTATTTCCATTGGTACTCAGGGAAATGTACTAATTTCCAGGCAGTGCAGGAGTTGTTCTGATAAGGTGTAACCAATTCATTTATGACACAGGTCTGATTAACTCCATGTCAGAAAACTGGGAGATTTATGCCTGGTGTCTCTAACTGACGGAGTAATTTCCCACCATGTCACATCCCCCCGTTCTTCCACAGAAACAGTACTCTCCAGGGAGCGTGTTTGGACCTCTCTGCAATCCCACCACGTTACTGTCCTACCTGGATGTGGGAGTCTTTCAAGACAAGGAATCTCTTCCTACTTCATTCACTGTATTTTGGCTCAGGAGCACTGCTGCCCTTTATTGGGTGAGTGCATTTTCATGGAGTCTTAGGTGATTGACTCCCAGCACACAGGATTTCTAAGACACTATGTTCTTGTGACAGGTGTCGGTTACGTATTTTGTGCCCAGGAAGGCACAAACTACACTTGGCCTCCAATTATGTTTTTTTTTTTTTTTTTTCTCAGCTAATCAGTGGAGACTGTGGGCAAGGGACTGACTGGATGAGAACCCCCAGCACCTCCATCCCCACTGTTGAGATTTCTGAGATTCGGTTTACTTCAGGTCTGAATAAGGAATTAAAGAAACAATCACACTGTGGCTTTGCAGACCTGCATCCTTCTGCCTGGGAACCTAGAACAGTGTGTTAAGTCCTAGAAAGGAGCAGACCAGAGACTATGAGCGTAGGGAGTCCTGCTGTGGCCCTCTGGCTGAGGCCAAGGCTTTACACAGTCTCAGGGCCCAGACAAGCCCTACCCCCTCTGCATAAACTCAGCTGAGGCAGTTGTACTGAAATAGTGCCTTTATTTCCTGAAGTTCATGGAATATGCTCCAAGGCAAAGAGAGTCCTGGCCTAGGAGGGCATAGTACGGCCTTGCTTGGTGGGCAGTCCTGGGTCTTTCTCCTTGCTGACTCCTAGGAGCTTAGGATCGGCCTGTGGGAGGTCAGAGTCTGAGGAGGGAAATGTCCATGTATCCCTGTGCCCACACCCTCCCTGGGACCTGCCTCTTCCCACTCCACACTGCCAGCCCCTGCATTTCTGTCTTCTTTGTGCCCTGTGGGAGCACCCTTCCCCAAAGACCATCCTCTGAGGACTCTCGATCCCCTTCTTTGCCTTCCTGCACCCAGCTCCTTGCATGAGCTATTTCTGCTCCCTGCCACCCAACCCAGGGCTCACAAGTTCTCCTGGGCCAGCCCCTTCATCTTGTTTGCTTTGGGCTTGAGCAGGGATCTGCACCCCAAGCGTTTCCAGCTCTTCCTTAAGCCTGGACAGACAGAGGTAGGGTAGGAGTGTGGGGAGGGGGAAGGGGAGGAGAAAGGACAAGAGGCTGTGAAGAGACCAGGAGACAGGCTGAAAAGGGAGCAGAGATGCCTCAGCCACCTTCCCCTAGAGGACTGGGGGGAGGGCCTCCACACGCACCTCTGCCTCTTTTGCTGTAGCTGCTGGCACTTCTGCTGCAGCTGTTCATGGTGCTGGGCAGCAGCCTCTAGGAGCTCCTGGGCCTTCCTGTTCTCCTCTTCAAACATATGTCTGAGGGGGGTGGGCATCAGCACTGGCATCTCCCTCCCTCCACCCCAGTCCCTGTCCCTGTCCTGCTCATCTTACACTGCAGCTGCTGCCTCCTGGCTGCGGAGAAAGAGCCCCTCAGCAGTGGTCGAGCAACCGTCAGCCCCAAACTGGGAACACAGACGATGCTTCACGTCCTCCAGCTTTGCTTCCACGAGCTTCTCTGCGGCAGGAAGGGACAGATAAGCAGGGCAGTGCAAGGCAAATCAGGGCCTCCCCAATCTCCAGGCCTCACCTTCCCTGAGCAATTGCTCCTTGCTGCTGTCCAGGGCGCCAATCTCCTGGGCCATCTGCTCTGGTCTCTGAGTAGGTAGAAAGGAGGCCTGTGCATGTGTTTCAGCCTACCCCCATGCACCTCAGACAAGCCTACCTGGATCTGGTCTTTACTCAGCCTGCCTCCCTTCCTACTACTCGGGCCCTCTGGGCACACAGGGCATGTTCCAGCCTCAGGTCCTTTGTACTGGCCATCCTCTCCACCTGGAACTGTCTCACCCCAGACACCTGTGATGCTGTGCTTGAGAGGCTCACGAGGTGGTTAATGTTCGGTAATCTTGGAAGCTTTGACGTGAGGCAAGCATTTATTACAGGGGATCCTAAAAGCATCACTAACCAGAAGTGTTCCCTGGAGAATCATTTACTAGCCCTGCATTGCTGTTTCTCTTCCCCTTACGTGGCCTCTTCAATGAACCTCTCTCTCTATCCCAACGTCTGTTCTCTCTGCCCCCTTCACTTGGTATCTAGGATCCCCAAGGGGCAAACACCAGTCTGCTTGGTTCCCCGCTGTCTGCCCTGTGGCAGTCATGGCTGCAAACACATTCATGGATCTTCTCTATGGATAACCTTTCCTGACTTCATCAGGGCTCCTCCTGGTCACTGCAGGGCCCTGGGGGAGCAGCAGAGAGGGCGAGCAGGACCAGTGAAGAGGATGACACCGGGTGGCAGTGAGGGTGGGGATAAAGCACTGAGTTGAGGGCCATTTTGACATTACGCCACCAAGGCTGGCTCAAAAGCCAGTGAGAGGAAGGAGGCCTGCGGCGTGACCTTCAGTTTGGGGCCAGGGACTCTTAGGGAAGATGTGTAAGGTGGGAGGAATGGCTGTGAGTGACTCACGTGGAACTCCCAGAGGTCCTTGTGCTGGCCCATCAGATCCTCCAGCTGTTCCTCAAAATCCAACCTGGGGGCCGGCCACACAAGATGAGGGACCATTGGCTGAGACACCCCTCCCCAGCCAGGCCCAGGCCAGGGGTCTTCATGTACAGACCATGGGAGGCTTGCCCATGTTCTTTGCTTGGCAGGGAGCACCTTCCCCACCTTGACCTTCCAAACCTCAGGTCAGCCAGCT